ATGTGTTATTAAAAAAATTGTGAATGGATTTAAAATGTCTTTTTCCGTACCTCTTCTTAAATGAAAACTTACCGAAGAAAATTTAGTTTGTATTTTTTGTAATAACATCAACAATATTAAGTTAGTACAAAAACCTAAAGTAGATTTTTACATAACAATACAAAATGCTGCTCTTCGACGAAAAGACAGTGTGACTGAAAAATTTAAATTAATCTAGCCAATATACCTTGTACCTCTGACGCACTTTACCAACACTTGTTAAGAGCTTTCGCTAAAACATATATTTGGCGAAATGCCATATATTCCCGCTATCAAACTCTCGATTTTACACAATATGGATATTATATGTCTGATAGTGGTGGGTTGGGAAACCGTGCAAATGCAAAAAGACTTGCAAAACTAATGCTTGCAACTGCAAGAAAAATCATGTCAACTGTGTACCATTATGTGGATGTGATTTAGATTTTTGTGAAAACAAAGATACTTTTACTGAGTGATATTAGTGTGTTATTTAACAATCTTTTGTACAATTATTTTATGTAACTATTATTAGACTTTAGACGAAATTTATATTATAATTCAATTGATATAAATAAATATATACTCAATAAATAATAATTATTTGTAAGTATATGTAAACTATGCATAAGTACGATAGAGGCGCACGGTAGCGCGCGGCGCCGCGGCGGCTAAAAAATCGAGTGTACGCGCATACTTAACAATTAAAAAACAATGGTCTAAATTAAAATAAGCCCCGATTACTCTTCATAATCTTGAAGTTGAATGTTTAAAATTCAATTTAGACACTTGATAACCTCAAAAATAATAATTTACATATGTGTTTTCAAGCCTCAAAAATGCGTATTTTCGCGTTTTTCAGACTTTAAATCGCTTATAACTCGAAAACTATCAACTGACAGAGAAAAATGACAGGAGTTCTTTTTTGTTTAAAATGACCCAAAAAACCTAAAAAAACGTTTTCCAGATAAAAAAAAATATTTTTGGAATTTGTTTAAAAAAAATTGTTTAAACAATTTCTGCCCAAAAATTTCGCCCGGCACCCTTCAGATTTATTTTAAGGGGACATTTTTGAACAGGAATCCGCGAAGAAACCGAATCAGAAACATTTTCCTAACGGGAGCGGCCTCACAGCCTGGACTATAATAATACTTAAACTTTTCTACTTCTTCAAATATATATTCTGCCAGTCTAACCTTTTTGTTTTCATATTTTTTGTCAAATCTCATTATTTTTGCAGTTACTAGGGTTTTGCTCATAATCATTTTTATTAATCGCCTTAATTTGTTGTGTATTCTCATTTCTCTCATAGCTGTAATTAATTTCGCTCTGTTTATTGAATCAAATGCTTGTTGGAAGTCTATAAAAAGCAGTTCAATTTCTATTTTATATCCATAAGCTTTCTTCATAATTTGCTTTACCGTATGTATGGCATCTGTTGTTGACTTTCCCCTAATAAATCCACATTGATACTGTCCCATGATATTTGTAGTCGCTTCGGCCAGTCTTCGTTGTTTAAGGTTGACATGATTTTATACGCTGTGGTTAATAATGTCAGTCCTCTATAATTATTACACATTTGTTGGACTCCTTTTTTATGGACTGTGATAATTTGTCCTTTGTACCATTCTTCTGGCATCTTTTCTTCGTCCCATATGACTTTTATTAATTGGTATATTTTTTCTCTGAGTTCATGTCCACCATATTTTTAAAAGTTCCATGTTTATACCGTCTATACCTGGTGGTTTACCGTTGCGACTAATGTTTATAATTTCCTCAACTTCATCTTTCGTTGGTTTTTCTAGCTCGGTTTCTATCATCGTGGTCTCTTCTTCCACGTTTTTATTTAAGTCTTGGTCCTCTTGTACTGTTAATATTTCTTTAAAATAATCAGTCCAGATTTATTTAAACTCTTTGTCATTTTCTGATACTTTTCCATTTCTATCCTTCATGCCTTTTATCTTTCCTTTAAATGTTTTGTTCTGCTCGCTAATTTTCTTATAAAACGCTTTTGTGTTTCTGTTTGTGTTTTCTTTTTCTATTTCATTTATCTTATAATTTAACCAGGTTCGCTTAATTTTCCTTATTTGTTTCTTACATTCTGTCCTTAATTTGTTGTATTCTTCTTTCTTGTCTATTTGTTCTGATCCACTTTTGTCTTATTTCTATCTTCGTTTTTAACATGTTATTACAGTCTTAATTATACCATTCTTCTTTTTTGTTTTTTCTCTCTATCCCTACATGTTCAAAAGCCGTTTCATTTATACATTTTTTTTATATTTCTCCATTCTGTTTCAACATTATCTGTATGTTCACTGTATTCCTTCAGTTTTTTGCTTATATCTTCTGCATATTTAATTCTTCTATCTGTAGCATTCAGTTTTTCTATGTATTATTTGTCCTTTGTTATCTTGTTTTTTAGCGTTTTTTTGACCTTTTATCTTAACGTTGCTGTAACCATAAAATGGTCTGTGTCTGCATGTGCATCTCTGTATGTTCTCACGTTGGTTGTTTCCAGTATAACTTGAAGTAATTCATATATTTCGCCTCTCAAAGCATGACCCGAGTATTGCATTTTCCTCTCTTTGATTATTCTTAGTAATTCTGTTTGTTTACACATGCGACAAAGTACCTCAACACTAGTAACTCTTTGTACTTATGGAATTCTTAACATTCGTCTGTATATATACATCTCAAAGGCATCTATTCTTTTTTCTATTTTAGAGTTCATTGTCCAACTTTCACAGCCATACAGTAAGACAGAAAAAACGTAACATCTGATCATTCGGATTCTAAGCTGCAGACTAAGGTCTAAGCTGTAAAAAATGTTTTCATGCTTATGGATGTTTTCCTTGTTTATTCGATTATTGATATGATTTCTTTTTCGGATTACACTGACTATTGATATTTACTTCCAAATATTTTATGGAATTTACCTGATCTATTATTTGACCCTTGGCATACACATGTACGTTTATTGGTATCTTTGAAAATACTAAAATAGTTTTGAAAACGTTTAGATCTAAACCGAACATTTCGCTGTGGTGAACTACCGCATTTATTATATTTTGTAGTTCTTTTGCGTTGCTTGCTACTAAGACGGCATCATCAGCATATCTGATGTTGTCTATGCTGATTCCGTTAATCTTAATTCCGTCTTGGACCTCGTCTAATGCTTCTCTGAATATAGACTCCGAATACAAATTAAACAGTAGCGATGATAAGACCCTGTCTCACTCATTGTCTCATATGTATATCTTCGGATATTTTGTGCTCTATTTCAATTGTTGCCGTTTGGTGCTAGTATAGTTCTGAAATAATTCGCAAGTCTTGTTCGTCAACTCCAGTTGTTCTCAGAATTTCGATCATCTTTTTATGGTTAATGCAGTCAAATGCTTTTCGATAGTTAATAAAACCTACATATACATATACATTCATGTCTCAGCATCGTTGCGTTAACACATTTAAAACAAAAAGACCCTCTCGTGTTCCTAATCCGTTTCGAAATCCGAATTGAGTGTTACTCATCTGGAACTCGCACTTCTTATAAACTCTTCTCGTAAATTCGTGTATGGATATTTCTGAAAAAAGTTTTAAGGGCATAAGACATCAAGCTTAATATTCGGTATATCTTATTGAATAGTGCTGGTATTAAGTCTAGTCTTTTAAAACGGAAAAGACATTTAAGTTTTGATTTCACGTGCGTCTATGTATCCGCTTATACGTGTTTCGGCCTAATAGGCCTCTTCAGAACGGCAATTCATAGTCGGTCTGAACATGAAAATAACTTCTGTCTTATGAAGCAAATCTAACATGGCTTCGAATGGACGCAAATAGCGATATATGATATTAAAATCCGTAAACTAATTTTTGAATCTAAATTTATATTTTTGCTTTAATCTGTGCCTTCTAAGAATTGCAAGGCAAAACAGACATTGATAAAGATGTTATTAGAGAAATGGGAAATCTAAAATTTGCATTCCACGACATTTCTCCTTAACTAAGCAAAAGTCCTTAGCGAATTGGTTTCTAGTACTCGTACAGAGTAATCGGAATTAAAAGGAAAAGACAGTTAAGATTTGATTTTACGTATAGTGCGTCTATGTATCCGCTTATACGTATTTCGGACTAATAGGCCTCTTCAGAAAGGCCTTCTAGACTTTTGCTTTCGTTATCTGCAATTAGTTTTAGTATTTCGACATTGATATTGTCTGGACCGGAGGCTTTTCCATATTTCTGAGATTTAACTGCGTGAATTACTTCTCCTTTGGTTATTTCTGGGCCTTTTTCATTAATTCAATTATCTGTGGATGGTGGAGAACAAGCTCTATCGTCATCAAAAAGAGTTTGTATGTATTCTTTCCATCTCTCTAGTTTGTCTTCTGTACCCATAATTATTTCGTTATTATCATTTTTTAATATTGTTGCTTGTCTCTTTTTGTATCTATCTGTCATTTCTTTTACTTTTTTATAAATATTAAAGTTGTCGCATTTTTTCTGAAGTTGTTAGAAATTAGAAAGAGATGCAGGGACTGCTTTGCGTCAGTTTTCTCTGTCGCACTGGAGGAACGCGACTGTATAGCAGCAGTCTGTCTATTTATATTATAGGTCTATGGAGGCTATACTTGCCATGTCACGATATTTTTCATGGGCTAGCTCATCAGCATTTTTAAGGTATGTTTTCTTAAGGTATATCCACTACACCTTCCAGTATCCCCACTGCTTGGACCGGGATGTTTATTCAATAAATTCGCAGCTAACCTTCCGAATTATCCGCCAACCGAAATCCTGCTGGTATTCTACAGTTCAGCTTGAGAATATTTATACATATATACTATCAATTCGAATAGCTATGGAGACGTCACAGAAAGATTATATTTTATTTTTTCGTTATTAATAATATTATGGGTTCTTTTATCTTTTCAAAGAAAATTATCATTAAATTGATCATCGCAAATTCCAAATTAAGTTTGACTTTCTACTGCACAACATACTATTATCTCCTTATTTTTATTAAAGCAATATATCACTACATAAACATTAACTTTACTGGTATGACTCCAGTATCTGTTAACTCAGTGTGACTATATAAACTATTTACGAAACATATTGATAACATACGGAAATATGAAAATTAAAAGTATCCGACTTCTCTTCTTGTGTATGTTTTGTGTGGCATGCGAAGTAGAAGCGGAGAATGCGGTAAATTTTGCGGTGAATTTTGTAAACAAGACATTACTTGAAAGTAAATGTAAGTTACATCTGTTGAGGATGAAACTATATCCACATACTCATTTTTCCGGTACTAATCCTTGTGATGAATTACATGGTAAGATCTTATTTACATTATAAATGTATTATAGAAACTTATTTGATTTATCTGGTAGTATTTTATACAAGAGACCTTAGTTAGTTGTTCCTCTGTAACATCCCTTTCTTTGTAATAATTGGAAATGAGCTAATCGAGTGTTAATTATGTTTTTAGTATAGCAATATTAAGCAATGTTAAAACACGAATTGATGATAAAATACCTGCAAGAGTTAGGATTGGATGCCAAGGATATAAGAATTATTGCCAATCTGTATTGGAACTAACAGCAACAGCACGTCTTTAAAATTTTAACGAAACAGAAGATTTCTCCATTAAAAAAGGAGTAAGGCAAGGTTGTATACTTTCTCCAATGATGTTCAATTTGTAAGTAGAAAAAGCCTTCGCAGAAGCAGTGGCAGACTCTAATAAGGGTATTATAGTTAACGGCATATTTATTAATAACATCAGGTATGCCGATGATACAGCCATAGTGGTAGATAACATCGAAGACCTTCAATGCCTTTTAAATGATATAACTCTTTCAAGTGAAGCTCGGGGTTTGAAAATAAATATCAAGAAGACAAAAACAATTATTATAAGTAGAAATGATTACCCCAACGCAAAGATATATGTCTCTGGAGAAGAAATCGAACAGGTCAGGCAATTTAAATACTTGGGTTGTTTGCTAAACGAGGGTTGGGACCCCGAGAATGAAATAAAGAGCAGAGTTGAATAAGCCAGAAATGCTTTTTTGAGGCTTCGTAAGTTTCTGACTGATCGCAAATTGGACTTCAACCTCCGATACAAGATGCTTAAGTGTTACGTGTGGCCTGTTCTCTTGTACGGAATGAAAGCATGGACGTTAAAGGAAAGTTCCATTATGGAAATAAGGAAGTACTCAGAAGAGCGGCTTACTGGATAGGGAACTTTTTAGTTATGTAAAAAGTAAGAAGACTGCATATTTGGGGCACATATTACGAGGAGAAAGATACACTTTTCAGCAACTGATATTCGAAGGGAAGATAGAGGGTAGGAAAGGTTTGGGACGTAAAAAAATGTCATGGCTGCGCAATATTCGACAATGGACAGGAATCCACAGCTATGAAATGCTTCGCAATGCTGCTTAAAACGGAATTATTTAATCCTGACAATTTAACATCTCACCTGACAAGACGGCATATTAAGGCATTTATATAACAAATATTGGGCAAATTAAGTTGTTTTTAGACTTTGGTGTTATGTTGATTGCTGTACCATGTCCTTTAAGAACGTTGGTTACCATCATAGCTATTTTAATTTTATTCACTGCCACCCTAAATAGCATGCTTGTATCTACACCATACCAATCTCGCAAGTTCTTCAACCATGAGGTTCTTCTTTGTCCTGGACTGCGTTTGCCTGCTCTTTTTCCTTGCATGATATTTTGTATGCAATCTATATTTGGCACCTCTCATTACATGTCCGAAATATTCCAGCTTTCTCTGCTTGATGCTTTTTATGATCTCAGTAGTCTTGCTGAGACGTTCTAGTAATGTGGAGTTACGAATCTTCTCCACCCAGGAAACTTTTAAAATTTTTCTATAGCACCACATTTTGAAAGCCTCAAGGCGATTTAGATCGATTTTATTCACAGTCCAGGACTCGACAGCATAAAGTAAGACCGAGAACACGTAGCAGCAAAGTAGGCGGATCCTTAATGCCAATTTTAGGTCTCTGTTACGTAACACCTTGGACATCTAATTTCGCCGTGATTTTCTGCATTACAATTTAATTGCTATCCAAGGTAGACGGTTATATAGACGGTTTTATATTCTGTTTGTTATTACGGTATTAATAATTTCTTGGCCTTTCCTTAACCTCTGGAGAATAGTTATTTTAGTTGTGTGGTTTATGTATGAGCCCCTTAACATACGTTGATAATACCACGATTCAAATACCTCTAACCATTTTATGGCATTTTCTGTGAGACTCCCTCTTTTACACTCTCTCTTTAAAAGAGAGACAATAAAGACGTAACATCTAAGATTTCTTACGTGTATATTGACACTTGAAGATCAGTTGCAGACAATCTTTCTAAGATCGTTAAAACAGCTTCTGGCCTTTTCAATACGGGTTTTTATTGCATAGCTATAATCCCAGGTATTCTTATTATAGCAGGCCAAATAGCGTATTTTAGGAATTATCAAAACGGTCGAAAATATCTACCAAAACAACACAATAAAAGTAAAAGTACACGAGAACTAATTGACCCTATTGAAGCCGGCAATGGGATAAGACAGGGAGATTTCCTGAGTTCTCTATTGTTCAGCCTGATTATGGATGAAATAATAAAATAAGTAAGAACTAAAATAGAATAGAAAATGGGAGAAAAACAACTTAAAATAATCTGCTATGCAGACGACGCAATACTACTCCCTGAAAGTGAAGATGATTTACAACGTATGCTGCACCAATTTAATTTAACCGCCAGAAAATTTAACATGTTAATTTTCCCAAAAAAGACAAAATGCATGGTTACAACAGCAAATTTACTAAGGTGTAAATTATAACCGGAAGGTCAAATAGTAAAACAAGTGATTGAGTTTAAATATCTAGGTATCACATTATCTAGCTACGAAAAGCTCGAAACAAAAGTGTAAGTTCAAGTAAATAGAGTAAACAGAGACGCAGGTTGCTTGAATAAAACGATATGGAGAAACAAAAATATCGAGAAAGCAATGAAAAGCCGAAATTACACAATAGTCAACAAACCAATGGAAGAAACACGGCCTGACACAGAAAGGACAAAAAGGATTTTGGAAACAGCAGAGATGAAAGCACTTAGAAAAATTGATGGTAAAATCATATGGGATAGAGCTAGAAGTACAGATATACGACATAGATGCAATTTGGAGAACGTCAGTGTCTGGGTAAGAAATAGAAGAGTAGAATAGAATGATATATAAGTCGAATGACAACAAATATATAGAAGTAAATACAACAAGAGACGGTTTCCCAATATTAAGACAACCAGAAAACGATGGAACGACAACGTACTGGAGGCACATTGAAAAATAGTCAAAGTCATATCTACATAAATAGAAGAAGAAGTAGAAGAAAAAGAGGAAGAAGACAAATAAAATTTTGTAGTGTCTGCAGCTATTTCGCAAAATTTCTGTTTTTGTTTTTTTTTCTGGATGTTGTCTTCTTTAAGTAGTGTTATATCTATTTTGGGCCTTATTTTTTATGAATTATTTTGGGTCGTATGTTAATATTTGAAACCTTTTATTTATATTAATAAAATAAATTATGATTGTAAAATAGTTTCGAAACACAATTCAGATTTCTGCTTTATAATCTGAGCCTTCTAAGAATTGCAAGGCAAACAGACGTTGATAAAAGATGTTAAAAGAGACATGGGGAATCTAAAATTTGCATTCCACGACATGTCTTTTACAACTAAGCAGAAATCCTTAGCGAATTGTGCTTCTAGTACTCACACAGAGTAAATCCGAATAAAATGAGAAAAGGCAGCAAATATTTGATTTCACAATATTTCAAGCCATGTTATTGTTGCTTCTTAAAAGGCAGAAAATATTGATTTTCACGTTGAGAACCCCTATGAATAGCTCTTCTGACGAGACCTATTAGGTCGAAATACGTATCAAGAGATGCATAGGATTTGTTTGCGTGAAATCAAATAGTTGCTGCCTTTTCTCATTTTATTCGGATTTACTCTGTGTGAGTACTAGAAGCACAATTCGCTAAGGATTTCTGCTTAGTTGTAAAAGACATGTCGTGGAATGTAAATTTTAGATTCCCCATGTCTCTTTTAACATCTTTTATCAACGTCTGTTTGCCTTGCAATTCTTAGAAGGCTCAGATTATAAAGCAGAAATCTGAATTGTGTTTCGAAACTATTTTACGATTGTTTAATTAGATGTCGCTAGTGCGTCCGTATTGAAGCCATGTTATTGTTGCTTCTTAAAAGGCAGAAAATATTGATTTTTCACGTTGAGAACCCCTATGAATAGCTCTTCTGACGAGACCTATTAGGTCGAAATACGTATCAAGAGATACATAGGATTTGTTTGCGTGAAATCAAATATTTGCTGCCTTTTCTCATTTTCTCATTAAATTATGATTCTTACGATTTTCCCTGGGGTAGCACCAGGAGCTTTTTATAAATAAAGCTTTCTTGAAATGCAGTTTAAATAATGTATTCGTATATAACCATATTCGTCTTCTAGCAGAATTGGACCAGTTTTTCTCCTCTTTCGTTTCTTGTGCCAAGACCATATGTCCCCACGACATTTTAAACTGTATATTGTTCTATTTTGTCGTTAACATCGCCATGATAATGGTTAGGTTATGTTTTTTTGTCAGTACATTGTATCAAGGATCATAAGAATATTGGACAAGAACTCCCATGGTTTGGTTACGTCAAACTTTGAAATTAGAACTATGGGGGACAAAGAATAGAGCTGTTGGAAGTTGAGGGAAGGAGAGATATAGGAAAACTGAGAAGAACATGAAAGGACTGTGTGGCAGAATATTTGAGAGAGAAAGGTTTAAATGAAGAAGACAAGGTAGGCAGAAATGAGTGACGAAGAAGAGTCAAGAAAAGCGACCCCTAAAAGGGGAAAAGATGAGAAGAAGAAGGAAAAAAGAAGAAGATAAAGAATAATGTCACGCATATAAGATATTAGTGAAGAGTGTCGACTGGATCTGAATATAAAGAATACAAAATACATGGTAGTTAGTTAGTGTGAAATACCAACTACACAACTTTCGGTTCACTAACAGCCAATTGACAGTGTCAGTAGCTACACATACCTTAGTTCCAACATAAACAGCCAATGGAACAACTCAATTAAAATATAATACCCCGTATGGGAGGTAAGAATAACATTTGTAAAGATAACGATCTATCTTCAGGAGCCATGATTTACTTCTCAAAATCAAAGTCTTATTATAGAATTTTAGATATTTTAGCATTTTTGAATTTTTTGTTGACGGTAATATAATCTATTTTTATTCCTGACTATTTGGTTGTTACTATCAGCTAGTAACCTCCATTCCTCCGTAGTTTTCCAGTCTATATCGCCCCACACAATTCTCCATTTCTCCTCCGTCCACTTTAGCGTTTAAATCGCCCATTATGATATTTATATCAGGTCTTTTAGTTCGCGTTAAGACATTGCCAATTTGTTCTTAGAAGGCCTCTATAGTGTCTTTATATCCTTGTCTGCAGTGGATGCATGTACTTAAATTATATTTATTTTTCGTTGTAAATCAGAGTTTATCTGATGAATTCTTATTAACTATAATGACAGATCCCTACCTGTGTTTAGAGTTGTTGTTGCCGGAACAATACATTGTTCCATTTCTGGTGTTACATTATACTGATTCAGGCCATTGTATGTCGCTAATACCCAGTATCTTAATCTTTATTCGATACATATCCTACACAGCGTTATCCAGTTTACCTGATTGATATAAATTTTAATTAACGTTCCATGTTTCAATTTTCAAAGTATAGAGTTATTCTTTTTTATTTGACAGGAATTTACTTTGATGACGACCTTAGAGGTCCTGTCGTCTAAATCTGATTATTCTTCCCTACCGAATCTTGGATTTCGATCTCCATCATCATGATTTAATAAGAATGAGTATGAGGTCCTGTTATGTGGTAGTCATCACATGCCTTTTCACATTTTAATACCATTGACTAATTTAGCTTTTCCGTTTTCGGAGGTAATTTCTCAGCTACAGGGCAATTACCGCGTGTCGGATTTTCCACCCGTAGCTGTTGACCAACAAGTGGGAGATTACGTATACCAGTCATCGTTTGATTAACGATTCTGTACTATGCCCAAAGCCAGGTTGTCACTTCCGTCGAATTCACCATTAAGAATGTTCTCATCTGCCTTTATCGCCGTTGTGATCTTCATCTGTAACCCTAGACAAGAGACCTTTACGGAGGCTATCAGCCAGGCCAGATGAACCCTATTTTTGTAGAAATGCTACTCCCCTATCCCTCCTCTTTTACCTGAGCTTGATACCGGCCACATCGGGAGTAGAGCTGCTCAGTTCATACCACAACCAACGCAGTCAAGTTACATCCACTCATATCTACATATTGTTGTAATTTTTTTTTTAAATTTTCTCAATTTTTGTGAGCTTATTGATGTACTTTTAAATTAAACTGATGATGTGTATGGATTCATATATGAAACGTTTTCATTAAGGGATGAAGTAGCCTGATCCTTTGCTTTTTTCTCCAATTTTTTGACCGATAACTCTTGCGCAAGTATCATTGTGAGCTAAATATTTATATATATATATATATATATATAATATATATATATATATATATATATATATATATCTTGTCGTTTCCTCATTGCTGAGAATCGTGATTCCCTACAATGCGGGCTGTCAATTCTCTCCATCTCTTGCGATTTTGGGCTGCTCTCATGGACTCGGAAAACGTCTCTCCAGTGGCTTTCTGTACTTGATCTGACCATCGGATAGGTGAGCGTCCTCGGCCTCTACGTCCTTCTACGTTTCCGCACACAATTAGTCTTTCTAAGTTGTCATTGTCTCTTCTCGCAATGTGGCCAAAAAACTTTAAAACATTTGCAAGACATTGAGAGGAGAGTCTGATCTGAATGTTTAGCTCTTCGAGAATCGACTGATTGGATCTGTGCTCCGTCCACGAGACGCGTAGCATTCGTCTCCAGCACCACATTTCGAATGCGTCAATCCTTTTCCTATCCACTGATTTTATTGTCCATGTTTCGGCACCGTAACTAAAGATTGAAAAAACGAGTGTCCGTACCAGTCTCATTTTGAGTTTTTTGGACAAAGAACGGTCCTTCCATATTTTTGACAGTCGACTCATCGCGTTCTTGGCCATTCCTATTCTTCTGCGAATTTCCGTATGGCAGGAGGCTGCATTGTTTAAGGAAGATCCTAGATACGTGAACTCGTCTACTTTCTCGAAATGATTTAGGGCGCCTGTTGTTTGGAGGATCTTCGCGTGGTCCACAATCATGATTTTTGTTTTCTGACTATTAATCTTGAGCCCACACTTGTTGCTTTCGGTTTCTACTCTCTTTATCAGTCTCGACATCTCCTCTTAAGATGTTGCTATCAGTGTTGTATCGTCTGCGAATCTTAAGTTTGAGATCTTTTTCCCTGCAATGGAGATGCCGCCTCTCCATCCATCGAGTGCGTTCCTCATTATGTATTCTCCATATAAATTGAACAGGTCTGGAGATAGTATGCAGCCTTGTCGTACACCTCTGCTGGTTTTGAAGGTATCAGATTGCTGGTTTTCAATTCTTATTTTAACTGAGTTATCTTCGTATGTATATATATATATATATACACAAAAATAAGCATATATATTTTTTTAATATATTTTAACTTTTAGGTCAAGCAGGGGAACTTCCAAAAGGATTTGATCCCCATGTTGAAATAGCTAGTATGAAACCTCCAGATATATTGACGAATGGAAATGTTCCAGTCAATAAAGTAACAGTTGGCCCCAATAATGCAGGTAAAACTTGATTTTAATGATACGTCAAAAATGTTAGAACTATAATATGTACATTTAGGTACACAGTTTTTCCAATAAATGTTCTCAAAAATCATTTTTCTTATCTGTTTTGAATAATATTTTATACTTGGTTTATAATAAAACACATTTTTATAAGAAACAAAGAAGGAAAAAATGTATATTAACCCTTTATAATGCAGAATTATTTTTTTGTACATTCGTTGTCGATACATTATTGTACTTTCATTCACCTTTCTATTTTATTTTCACTACTTGTTGGTTTTTTTGGGTGGTTGAAATTTCGACCACAGCCTGATTAAATATGTTGACTTTGATACATGTAGTTGTGGTTCCATAATCGACCTTAGAAAAAAATACTTCATTTAAACATTTTTATTACGAAATAATGGAAAATATTCAATATATACTGCAACCTGGCAATTTGATCATTTAATATTTGAATTTTTGGCTTTGCTCTCGTTGAACAGAGTGCACAACGTCTTGATGTTCCTTTCTCTAGCATGTGATTACCAACATCGCTTAGTCTTGCTGTGTTTTCAACGCTTACATTATTATGTATCTAAAATGAAAATGAAATCTAAAATCTGAATGTATGTATATGAAAATGCTCCCATTTTCTTTTGTTTATTTCTTTGTTGGCCAAGACACTTCTAACATACATGTGACTTATTGGTTTCGATTTATTAAACTTCATTTTCATTGCAGTCTTATATGTTACATACGGATTTCCTAGTGCTGCACCAATGAAATAGTCTATAATCCTCAAATAATATCTTCGGGATTAACATGAAATTGGACGAAGAAACATGAAGTTGATCGAATAGATCAACTTCAACCATATAACGATTGTAATCACTTATCACTTTTAGACACTTGATACTTTCATGTTCACGAAATTGATCGAATAAATTGACTCCACCCATATAACCTGTATACTAAACAAGAGAAGCCTTGTTTAGTATACAGGTGCTAGTACAGATATGCAAAGATATAAATCAAAATGTGTATATTTGTGCAATCGATTTTGAAAAAGCTTTTGACAAAGTTCGACATAACAAAATGCTAGAAATATTGGAAACAGCTGGATTGGACGATAAAGATCTACGAATAATTACAAATCTATACTGGCATCAAGTGGCAAGAATAAAGGTTGAACAAGAACTGTCGGATGAAATAAATATAAAAAGAGGAGTGAGACAAGGTTGTATATTGTCGCCTTTACTTTTTAACTTATATTCGGAGGAAATATTTAAGGAAGCCTTAATGGAGACAACCGAGGGTATTATTGTGAATGGAGTAACCGTCAACAATATTAGATATGCCGACGATACCTTAGTACTTGCCAATTGCGGAGAAGACCTTCAAAATCTAATGAACAAAATAAAACAGACTTGTGATCAGTATGGATTAAAACTCAACGTTAAGAAAACTAAATATATGATAGTTAGCAAACAAAATTATATACATGATGACGGTATAAAAGTCGGAGATGCCACACTGGACAGAGTAGAGAAACTCGTGTATCTCGGCAGTAATATCAATGAGAGTTGGGATCCAACCGCAGAAATTAAAAGCCGAATAGAACAAGCCCGAGCTGCCTTTGTAAAAAATGAGAAACGTACTTTGGTACATCATACACACATATGGTACATAAATGGTACATAAATGGTATGGAAAATCAACTACATCGTTATTTAGAGCTGCTGTCAATAAAGTCACGATAGCGAATATGGTAGCCAACATGATATCCAACGATCGATAACGGTCATGGAACTATAAGAAGAAGATATAACTATTGTAATTAGTTATCGTTTTTAGACAATTGATACTTTCTTGTTCTTAATTTGCTTTTCTTCGCAAAGCGTGGAGTAGTTTTAAGTGTATATTGCTTAGTACTCCCAACTAGAACGCATTTGCGCCCCGATCTTTCCATTTACCAACAGACATATCATTAGATATGACAAAAATCATGTTCTCTTCTTCTTTAAGTGCGATCTTCGTGACGAAGGTTCACAATAATTATGGCTATTCTGACCTTCGAGGCAGCTGCTCTGAACAATTGCCTTGAGCTGCAACCAAACCACTCTCTGAGGTTCTTCAACCATTAAACGCGTCTTCTTCCTACGCTTCTCCTACCCTCTATTTTTCCTTGAATTATGAGTATCAAGACGTTGTATCTTTCGCCTCTCATCACATGTCCGAGATATTGCAATTTCCTTTCTTTTATTGTATTTTCCATTTCCGTCTCTCTGCCTATTCTCCTTAACACTTCTGTATTCGTGACTCTATCTACCCATCGTATCCTTAACAATCGTCAAATGTCCACATTTCAAACGGGTTAAGTCGATTTATTGTATTCCCGTTTAATGTCTTTAATGTGTACATAACATTTAATTAGCCTTATTCTGAGGGCCAATGTCAGATCTTTGCTGCATAAAATCTTTTTTATTTTCACGAAGTTGGCACGTGAACCTCTATGGCTTTTAGTAAAAAAAAAGAAAAAATATTAACATCCATAGAACGATCAAATTTGGTATTCCGAATTTACCTCTTTCCGCACTGTGTAACGACGGCACTCCACGAGAAGGTGTTTTATTGTTAACGGGGTCTCTCAATCAAACATAACACTCCGGTTGGCGATCCCGTGTTATCAGATGTCTATGCGTAAGGCGACTATAACCAATCCGCAGTCGTGTGATTTCCTGTGATTCTGAATTTACTGGGTCTGTACTTATTAGGAAGTTGATTTCAGAACGTGACTTTTTATAACGTGACATATAGCTTTATATATTGCAAAGAGTTCTTTTGGTAAGATAGTGTTAGTCTACGCTAGTTTATATTTCTTTATGTTATCTTTTGTTACAAAGAAAGATGCTACACAATGTTTCGTCTTAGATCCATCGGTGAATAACTGTTTGATAATTAATGTTTGGTATTTAGAATTATGTTGGTGACATAAAATGACGATTGATTTCTTTATTATTTTCTGACAATATATCCAAATTTATCTGAGGAGAAGATATTATTTAAGGTGGGGGAGCTAGAATCTTGCTAGGATAAATCTCGGGGACTTAAAGATTTAATTCATTTATGATTATGAATGAGCGTTTTGCATGGTACATATCTTCGTAATTCAATTATGGAATATATATTTTTATGCTAAGCGAAAATTGGAAAAATATCATTTTTCGAACTAAATTGTTAATATTTAAAACGTAATGCCGAAATTTCTGAAGAAGACGTATCTGTTTTTTTTCTATAGGTGCATGTCACCGGAAAAACTCGTCAAATACTGGATACATCGAAGTTCTGAACACGGTTATATTTTGCCTGTTTCCGTATATAACCAAAGCTAGTCGTCTTAATTACATAACACCAATTGTCTTTTGTATCTCCTTAACTGTATAATAAGGAAAAATACAATGCAGTGGGGTTTATAGTAACACAATAAAATGTAAATATCTAATAGTGCGAAAACGAAACATGCGATTAAGAATTTGAAAAAATTGTAAGGTATAGAAAAATGTAAATTTTTAGTAGTTACTTTTAATAAGACGATTCTTTTTCTTAGGGTGCCTGTCCGTTCCGAACGTTGGCGATCATTCTGGCTATAATGATTTTATTGGTTGCTATACGAAATAGCTGTGTTGAGGTCTTTCTATACCATGCTCTCAGGTTAGCAAGCCGGGATATTCTTCTTCGTCCTGGGGCTCTTTTTCCTTTAATTTTACAATGCAAAATGCATTGGAGTAGCTCGTATCTGCCTTGATTTCTCATTATACAGTGGAACCTCGATTATCCGTCAGGGCACCGGACCAAGGGTATGACGGATAATCGAAAAGACGGTTAACAGAACATTAAAAAAATTCATAGTATAATTTTATTTGTATGTTTTATTTGACGATATAAGAGGGATTTATGTTCGTACAGTCGAATCAATTCGATTTAAAATATTCCGAAATCTTTGATTTATTGTAACTTCACATTTTGCAATGACTGAATTTCTTAATCAACATAAAATCATCAAATCTACCTTATTTGCTTTTTCTTTTATACAAATTTTTTGTGGCAAATAGACAAGTTCTGATGCCATCCACTATCTACACACACACACACACACACACACACTGCTTTTTCTTGTCGAGAATACTACTCGATGAATTGTTGTATGTGCGATGCAGCTTCTCTAGCTTCTTTACACAAATGTTTGTGAGTTTCAATAGCATCATCAACATCGCCACCGTCAAAGTCTGTGTCAGCTTCTGAATTAGTTTCGTCCGCCTTTGTTGCCATTTCAACGATTTTATCATCTGTCAGCAATCAATAGCCGTTTGCGTCCTAATCACAAATTGACAATTCGTTTATGTCATCTTTAGGCAACGAAAACACAACAGTTGACTCAGCCATAACTTCATCTATTACCGCATCACGCTCGGCTGTCACGGGGGCATTTTCATCTTGTTGATTCAGGCCATAATTCATTCCACGCTCATTTTAGCGTTACTTCCGAAACATCAGCCCAAGCATTGTCGACTGCGTGTTTTAAATTGTATGCTTTCCAGTATTATGGCAAATAATATTCCTCTTACATAACTAAAAGTATTGTTGAACGTCCGGTATTAAAAACTAAAAACAATCCATGCATTATGTTGTGCATCAGTCGTATAAGTTCTATCAGCTCTGCTTGACTATTTGCAAGAAGGGCTGTGTCATCTGCGAAACGTAGGTTGTTTAGTTTATGACCATTTATTGAGATGCCCTTTTCCCATTCTTCAAGTGCTCTTCGCATAATATACTGCTGTGCCAATCAGTAATAAAAGAAGGCGATGGTCACCACTTGCATTTGAACACATCATTGCTGTGATTCGTTGCTTTTGCTTTTTAAATCCGGGTGCATATTTTTCAGACAGTGCAGCGAGTAATTTTGTTGGCAATGCTTTGTAGTTTAAACCAGTTTCATTGAACACTTGATCGCGTGTCTAACCATATTCATCGATCATAGCTTGAAAGTTTCTTTTATATTTATCAACGACTTCAATATTTGCAGCGCTCAATTTTTCACCTTAGATTTTCATTCCCATTTACCGCGGCAAGTTTTGAACTTTTCCAACAAACCGCTGCTTCCTCTGAATGAAGGGTAGCCATTCCATTTCATATTGAAAAACAACGCTTTTTTCGGCAACAATTGGTCTAGACAAAGGAACACCTTTTTTCATTGTTTTACGATGTTTCACCCGGCCATCCAACGATTCAATTTGCGAAGCATACTTTTCAATTGCTCCAGTATTTTTCTTTAAGGCATCGATTGTTGTTCCCAGAACATCATACTTTTTGCTCAATGCGACAGCAGAAACACCTTTCTTTAGCTCTACAATAATTTCTATTTTTTTTAACTGACAAAACTCCTTGAAGAGGCGCAAGCCTAAACAAGGCTAAAAGTCTGGCTCTAACTGACAAAATAACACGTTTTCTTTTTGATGCTCCAGATGTAGAAGGCTCCAGTTTTCAAAACTTAATTGATCAAAAGACACAAAACTTAATTGAAGTAACACAATCAATGTTCGAATTTGAATCAAACTAAGTTGTGGTGACACAGATATTGACTGTAATAATTATTGTGCTGTGCGTTTTTATTTTCGGCTTGCGATTTTAAAAATGTAACTTTTTATATTTATGTACATATTTAAATTAAAATTTAATCCAGAGCTCTCAATCCACAATGCTCAAACAAAATGAATTAATGATTAAATTTTTACTTATGTAGTCATATAACCTATGTATGGACCCTGACGGTTAACAGAGGTGACGGTTAATAGAGAGACGGATAATCGAGGTTCTACTGTATGTCCCAAGTACTCCAGCTTACGGCTCTTCACAATGTTGACCAAATCCGCGGTTGTGTTCATCCTCCGCAGTACTTCGTCATTGGTGACTTTGCCTGTTCATGGTATCTTCAGGATTCTTCTGTATAACCATAATTCAAAAGCCTGAAGTTTTGTTATAGTTTCCGCCTTCAATGTTCACGTTTCTACTCCATACAGAAGCAGTAAGACGATAAAAGGATAAAAATACAATTAGAGTAGAAAAAAATAATAGTAAAGTATCAAAATTAATAGAAACAAACTTTTGATGACGAAAATGGACTATTTAAGATGAAGCTGTAGTAGATCATAACCTGATGCTTCAGAAATGAACAAGCACATAACAAAATGAAACTAAATCACAAAATAGAGAAAAAACAGTTGATATGGTTTGAATACATGAGGAGTATAATAAACGGCGATGGCTTTGAATGAATTTTTCTATAGAAAAGGAAAAGAGAATGCCAATGGATAAGATGATGTGATGATATTGTAGCATTTTCTTTTCACCCTGTAAATCATAAGAACTGAAAATGGTTAATATCCTTTTACGTTCTAAAATTATTAAAGTAAACAACTCTGGAGTCTGCTTATAATCATTCAAGTGCTGATCATTAAGAGCTTCTTCTCAGAGGGAAACTACAAGCGATGTTGCTTTTTCTTCGTTGGATTAAGAGTTGGCTTGTGCATTTACCAGAAACTGCTTTAAATGTGTTACCGAAAGTTCCTGGTATAATTATAGTATGGAATTCAGAGTTAAGTGAAGGATATTTATCTGGTTTTGTCATATAATTTCTCTATTCTTGGACATCAATGAGCAATTGCGAATTGATATCTTATGTCTCTATGCGTAAGTGTGTTGTGTACCTCCGTACACAGCAGCGCAATGTTCTTATTAATAACATCTTTCATTTCTATGCGTAGCACTTCAGTATTCGAAAATAAATGCCTGAGTCTGTTCTAGGTTTACTAGCTTTTCAAACTCCTGTTCTAGCATTTTTTTTTTCATTTTATACTGATTTTCTTTAAGTGTATTCTGGGTTTATTTGAGTTTCCTGAAGTGTGGATCATCAGAGCCTGTAGTCTAGATAACATGGAAGCCGTGCAAGGAAGAACTTGTCTCATCACTGGATTCCATAAATATTCCTGGTCCCAGTTTCTTGGCATTTTGCAGTTGCAGCTTATCACTTCCTATATTTAAATCGCATGTTTTTGTATATCACCTATTTAATATTCATTACTTATACATACAAACTTATATGGAATCACTATGTACTTTAAACCAATATTTATTCCTTTTAAGAAACTTGTTATTGTTGTGAAGAATAAAGGTTTTTATTGAAAATTCACAAATCGATAAAACAATTAGATAACACAGCTCGGTACGTTATAGATTATTTGCTTTAGTTGTACATTGAATGAAAATAAATAAACTTACTTTTGCGTTCAAAACAAAAATATGCCTTATATGGGGTAAACGCAGGCGCAAAAAGGCAAGATTACTAGTCTTGTGAAATAAGGAATGTCTCAGAGGGACATAGCGGCAGTGGTGGGCGTAATACAGGGCATTGTGTCAAAAACTGCGATGTATTAGGAATTAGTAACGCTTAAGAATAGACTAAGACAAATACCTATCAAGAATCGAACAAGCAAAGAAAACATTTATAAGCATAAAAACATTTTTTATAATATCAGACCTTAGTCTGCAGCTTAGAACCCGAATGATCAGATGTTACGTTTTTTCTGTCTTACTGTATGGCTGTAAAATTTGGACAATGGACTCTGAAATAGAAAAAAGAATAGATGCATTTGAGATGTATATGTATATATATATATACAGACGAATGTTGAGAATTCCATGGGTACAAAGAGTTATTGATGTTGAGATACTTCGTCGCATGTTTAAACAAAAAGAATTACTAAGAATAATCAAAGAGAGGAAAATACAACACTTGGGTCATGTGTTGAGCGGCGAAAAATATGAATTACTTCAAGTTATACTGGAAGGAAAATTACAGGGCAAAGGATCAGTAGGAAGACTCTAGAACTCGTGGCTGAAAGACCTGAGGAAATGGTTCGACCGTTTATCTTCAGAAATCTTTCGCGCAGCAGTTTCCAAAACTACAATTGCCATTTGGATCACCAACCTTAGAAAGGATACGGCGCCATGAGAAAAAGAAGACAAAGTGGCCAAAAAGTAACAATGGCTCGACACGATCGTTTCCTTGGACAATTAGCTAGAAGAGACCCAACAAATACTCACCTACTGCTCCAAAGGCTTTTTGGAAACTACAGGTGTGTTTCAGTTGATAAGGTTTTTTATTACACTACAGGTGTAAGTGATAAGAAAAAACATTTCGTACCCAAGGACCATACAGCAGTAGACAGTTATGGGTTCCCGAGTTATCCAGACAGCTTAATATTGATCGCTTAAATTGGTGTTTTCAACACCAAAACTGGAACATTAGAAATTGGCCAAATGTGCTATTTCAGTCGAAACAAGGATTTGTAAAAATCAGATGATCGACAAATTCGTGTATTTAGTGAGCGAAGAATATAAGCAAAAACGGAAATTACCCGATCTGTTCACAGATATAAAGTAGAAAGTGTCATGTTCTGAAAAGAGGTTATGATCAGTAAAAAAAATTCTTTAATTTTATACGAAGAAGGTTACGTTTCGATTTAATTTGAGTCTCTGACCACTCCCTGCCAAGTGTTTCTGGGTCTACCTGCAATCAGAAGTAGTTTGTAAGAAGACTCAAACTAAATCAAAACGCACCGACTACTGTGGCAATTATAGTAAAATAACTACGAGAGTAGGCTACTAAAGACCTCTAGTGAGGAATATGAAGTTAAATACGTCGATAGCAATTAAAGTAAACTGTATACCCAAGCTTAATCGAGCCATTCAGAGCGTTGCTAGAAATAATTATATTCCACTATGCACCAACAATTTACGCATATAAATTACCATCATTCTTATACTCATTGCGTCGGGTAAGGACGATAAATATACGAAGAAGGTTGCGTTTCGATTTAATTTAAGTCTCTTACCACTCCCTGACACTAGTTGGTGCATAGTGGAATATAATTATTTCCAGCACCGCTCTGAATGGCTTGATTAAGCTTGGGTATACAGTTTACTTTAATTGCTATCGACGTATTTAACTTCATATTTCCTCACTAGAGGTCTCTAGTAGCCTACTCTCGTAGTTATTTTACTATAATTGCCACAGTAGTCGGTGCGTTTTGATTTAGTTTGAGTCTTCTTACAAACTACTTCTGATTGCGGGTAGACCCAGAAACACTTGTCACTGTCAGGGAGTGGTCAGAGACTCAAATTAAATCGAAACGTAAACGTAAAATATATGGGTAAAAACGCATTAAATATTGTTAATTTAAATTTTTGTTACATTACATATTATTTAAAATTAAGATGTTCAAGTTACCGTTGGAATTGGTAACATGGCGACGTAGTACGAAAGTCAAACGCGAAGTGGTAAGTGAGTTAACATAATTAGTGTAAAAATCTGAGAGTACTGAGTTTGAATTCGGCCTGGTATGGGAATTTATATATAAAAATAATGCTATTGATTGGTTTGGTACTCACTTGAGGTTCACGATTTTTCAGACGTAATAACTCTTTGTGACGACAATAATGCCGATCTTACTTATAAGGCATACACACGACACAGTACCTATACAAAATAAACCTATAATATCTTTAGTAGTTGATGCGGTTAATTGAGATAAAAAACATAATAAATATATATTTTTTAAATAATATAAATCGTATTAAAATATTTAAACAAATAAATTATTATTTTTTAGAAAAAAACAAAATTGGTGAGGCTTTTCCGAACAATCTTAACCTAAACAATGGACAAGCACCAAACACCAATGGCGCAGGAAATAATATCGGATCTGGTATCCCAAACACTCAAAATCCAAATGGGCAGGTACAACCTTTTAATCCCTATATAAATGGTTGGAATTATCCCAACAATGGTTTTAATCCCAATACTGGATATCCAAACTATCAGTTTAATCCTGCTGGACAATATCCCTATCCAGGTCCATTTAATCCAAATCCAAATCAATTTTATCCTAATGGTCAACCTATATGGGGCAGTAACGGTAATTTGCCCAATCAAGGTGGATACGTAGGTACTAATACTTGGGGTAATAATCAGGGGACTAAACCAGGTACATTTCCCAATACAAACCAACCCAATACTGGACAGAATTTTAATTGGCCTTATAACCCTAATCAATATCCAGGACAAACAAACAATGGACAATACCCGAATGTAAATGGAGTACCTAATTGGATGCCAAATCAAAATACAAACCAAAATTCAGGACAAAATCAAGGCCAATTTCCTAACCCCTGGGGATTAAATCCAAATTCAAATCAAGATCAAAAAGGCCAAAACTCCAATCAAGGTACTAATACAAATTCGATTACAAACCAAGGATCAGGACAAACTAGTCAGTTGCCTAATAATAATCCAAAACAAGGATCTGTACAATATCCTAATCAAAATGGACAACCAATCTGGGGTAACCAAAGTCCAAATCAGGGAACTGGACAAAATGGTCAATCTCCAAACATTAATAACCAGCCAGTATGGGGGAATGTCTCTCCAAATGAAAATAACCCAAAGAATACAGGTATTGTTTTTCCAGGACCTGATAGTCAAGGTCCAGGAGGTAGAACTATTTTAAATAGCAAAAATGGTACATACATAGCTCCAACTTTGCTTTCATCCACTTCTACAACTACTGTTAGTTCTAGTACCACTATTACTACGCCAATGCCAAGAGTTACATCTTCTAGTAAAGAAATTAAGCCCGAGATAACTCAAAGCGGACAAAATATGTTAATAACTATTACTTCAACCACTAGTACTACAAGTAAACCAAACTGCCGTCATCTCAGTCATTCTTCCAAACGTAGAAAAAATAACGACGATTATGAAGATGATGATTCTAAGGAGAAAGAAAACAGTTTACCAATTTGTGACGGTACGTATTATGTGCTACTTTCATCATCTTTTTATATCTTCTGCTTAACTTCTACAGTTTAAATCAATTTCTTTATTTAAGTCACTCTCAACCTTTTCTATCCTTCTTTTGCTCGGTCTTCTTCTCCTTCTACTTTTTCCTCTTCGTCTATTAAGCAATACCATCTTGGCATTGTTTCTACTAGCATTTTTTGTGTATATCCCAGACAACCCGCTCTTTTTGCCTCGACATGACGGTCTCCTTATACTGATCATATACTTTGCGGTTGGTTCCTCTTTTCCACTCTTCCTTACTCTTTATCGCTCTTAAAAATGCTTCTCAGTATTCTGCGTTCCTATAATTCTAGCTGCCTATCTCAAACTTTATTGAGGATCCACGCATAGCATGTATATATGATAGTTGATCTTATTTCTTTTCTGGATAAAAACTTAATAGACTTCTCAGACTTCCATGTTTCATGTTGCCTTCTACCAGTTCTACGCTTATCTTATTCTTTCCATAGTCGCTCCCTTCTAAACGGCGAAAGGTTTCCGGAAAGAGCCCTAGGTGGTAAAAGGTCGGCGTGGGACTGGCAAGATTCGAGGCATAGTTAGGAGGAGGCCAAGGCTCGATTTCGGCTGTAGTGCCATTGAAGACAGAAAATATGTTACAGAGCCATAGCTAAGCTAACGCTAGATATCCAAAAAAAGCAAGGCATACTGTTTTTTATTTGTATGTCATTTGTCCGACTTTTATAATTTTAGTAAAAAAATCTGCCAACTAACTTGTTTTGGTTTCTCTTATAGCTATCCACACTTATCCAATGAGATTATCTGGACTGCTTCATCTTTTTTAATTTTTTTTAATTGATTTTTGACGTTTGTTATTTTGATGATAACTGCTGCTTCTGTTTCTGTTTGTTCAACTCGTTTTCTGTAAAATTCTTGTTGATATATTAGATTATATTGAATGTCATGATTGTAATTATTAGCACAATTAGTTGATAGTGTTTAACAATTTTATTTTGGATTTTTTAGAATCCACTGATAGGCCTGAAACAACAGTGACCGTTAAAGATGGAAAGAGTCTTATTGGTGGGGTCAAGTCTAACTGCCAAGAGGGATTTGTAGCTGACCTCGGTGGAAATTGCAGAGAGCTATATTAGGTTATTAATGTGTATTTGCGATATTTTTTAAAGAAAACTTACAATATAATTATTTATATTTAATTCGTATTTTTTTTTATAAAATGCTTTACATTGGAAAGTTGTAAATTATTTATTGCAATGATTCTCTCCAGTTCATAGCAAAATTCCATCATTGTTTTATCGTCAGAGCTGTTTTCTCCCTAAATGGTGAGCTCATGAATCCCTTGACGTTTATGAATCGATGTAATCGACCACTTGATGCACAGAAAGTTTCTTTGATTTTCCGTGAATATTTTTCGTGAAAAATTTCGGCATGCTTAGCTAACATTATACCAGAGATTAATATGCTCTCCGATCTTTTCTGCAGAAACAACTTGATAAGTGGTTCATCGAGTTGTTGAAAAGGTAATGCTTTTTATGATTTCTTAACAGATATGTTTTTAAAAAAATAACACTAAGATACAAAATTTTGTGTTCTTATTTTTATTGATATCAAATATTGTTTGAAATAGGTAAAGAAATAATAAATAAGACTTACAATCAATTTAATTTTATTATCAGACGACCGGTTTCGCTTTCTACAATATGCAAAGCATCCTCAGGTCTCGATACAAAGTTAAACAAATAATGCCGGTACTCTATTAATTAATGGATGGTAGAACATGGTTGAAACTACTATGTATTGTTGAATGGAGAACTCAATTCTATTATTGCAGTTGTTTGACAGTAAACGGGAAGTTCTTGAGAAGATAGATTTGATCCAATGAAGAAGAGATATGTGTGTGATTGTTTGTTAAATGAAAGTGATGTAATATACAATTGTGTTATTAAAAGCTATTTATACTTATTCGAGAGATATATTTTTGAAATGTGTGTTATTTATTGAGTAATTGTTTTATGAAGGTGACAGTTTTATGACAATGAATAAGTTTAGATGTAAAAATTGTGTGGGTGTGCAATTATTTTCAAACTTGTAGTAATCCGACTTGAGAGAGCCATAAATAGTTCAAGGTATTTAGTCACAAAATTCTACAACAAAGTGCTAGCTAGAACAAAAGCAGCTCTTAATTTTCATTAGTTTAAGTCAAAAATTAAGAGTGACCTTATGGTGAATACGTTTTTTTTTACATACGGGGAGTAATTTACTTATAATTGTAATTTGTTGTAATTGTCAACCATATTAGTTAAAACACTGTTTTTATATTTTAATTTTTTAGTTATTTATTTACCATATTGACATATTTTTTATCTTGTAAAAAATACGTTTGTATTAATTTCTTATCAATAAACCATCTATCTATTGTGTTTATCACTGATTGCTGCCATTTTTAAAACAAAGATATTTGTTAAGAATATATAATTTATTTCACACATTTGCTACCTTTAAAAAAAGTAATTTCTAAATTAAAATAAAAAATTCTTTTATAATATTTTTTAAAAAATATTAATAAGAAGCTATATACCACGGCTTCCCAAACTTATTCGTACTGTGACGCCCTTGGGACTTTGCTATTTTTTGCGACGCCCTCTCAACCCAACCCCCAATAATACTTACCAATTTTAGTACTAGTCTAGTACCATTCTATAGTTATAACAAAAAAATTATTTGAACATAACGAAATCAAAACATAGGCACAAAAATGGGAAGGGATATTTATTTATGTAACTGGCTGGTTAATGTGAGAGATGTGCTTGATCTTTTGAGCACAGCTTATGAAATTAGGGCTCCAGTTTGAAAATTGCCACTCTCATTTATTTTTATAAGGTTACTTTTGACCTGTACTTGTTTTTAATTACTGCAACTGCAGAAAAGCCTGTTTCGCACAAGTACAAAGTCGCAAATGGTAGTAAAACCTTTAATGCAGCAGTGCTGATGGCATGACATTCATGAGAAACTGAGCCCCAAAATTCAAACAATTTGTCCTTGTTGTACTGAAGCTTTAGAATTTCTATCGATTTTTCTCATATAATACCTTGTAAAGCAGAGAAACTTTAATTTCTTGACCTGCTAATTTTCTGTTCCGTAAGAGCAACTTCTGAAAGCCAGTAATTTTATTTACCACTTGTAGGATATGAGTATTGTTTTCCTGCAAAGACTTATTAAGATTATTTAATTTGTTAAATATGTCACAGAGGTATGCTAATTTTATTATAAACTCTGAATTAATAAAGTTTTGTGCATCATCATGTGATTTTGTATGTAGATACTTGTAAAATTCAGTTCTAAATTCGTATACACGTGCGTGTACGTTGCGTTTGGACTGCCAACGAGAGTTGCAATAATAAATTAAAGAGATGTGCTCGGCTCCCATTTCTTAACAAAGTTTATAGAAAAGTCTTAATTTCACAGGTCATATTTTAATGTAGTTCACCACTTTAATAATGCTATCCATCACAGCACTTAATTCAGGTGTAACGTTCTTTGCTGCTAAGACCTCTTTATGTATGACACAATGTGTCCATTTTACACTTGGAGCCTTGGTTTTGATGAGAGCTTGTAGTCCTCTATACTGTCCAGACATCGCTCTGACACCATCCGTACAAACACTTACACATTTCAAAGCACGTGGTGTTCGTGTGTATTACTAAAAGAGAGAGTAAAAATACCAATATTAAAAACAAGAAAGTTAAAATTTGAATATCCAAAAAGAAAAAGTTGGTTTTTTACTACTTACATAAAAAGTTGTTAAAAAACATTGTGTGGCCACATAAAAAACATTCGATGGACATCTGGATTTAAAAAATAATCTTCATGTTATTTATTCAGGTAAATGCAATAGACTCTTGAATTGTGTAATATTAAAAAATGAAACTGGGAGCATCTTATATGACCCCCTGTAGTTGGTGAGGTTTTATTGACTTACATTACCTCTGATCTGTGTTGGAGTCTAGGGCTAACTGATAGAAAGATGGTATGAAAAATCAGTTAGTACCCGTCAATGTCAAGAGGAATGATGTGGTAGGAGCAAAGTCATTGTGCTTAAGTTTGTGAGTAGGCAGTTTTTAGTGAAGAAATATGTTTTGTGTGTAGTAGGATCATTAGCAATTTTTGGTATTTTAAAAAACTGATGGGAGAATATAAATCAATGAGTGACTGCGATGTAAAATAAATCGGTATACCAAGGTAGGGAAAAATGTTTTTAATTTAAGTGGTTAAAATTAATAAATCATTTTAAATGGGATGAAAAGGATGTTATTACCTAATTGTTTCGTTGTATTAAATGAGTATATATAAAAGTTGGATTGTAATTTATGGAAGATGAGTCGAGGAAAAGAAAAAGAAAAAAGAAATAAACGAGAAAGCAAGAAAAGGAAATAGACGGTGAATGTAACGATGTAATCTGGGGATATTAAAACTGATTGTGATAAGAGATTGATAGATGTAAAATGAATATTTATAAGAAAATGTATATGATTGTATGTGTATGATTAAATGAGTATATATATAAAGTTGGATTGTAATTTATGGAAGATGAGTCGAGGAAAAGAAAAAGAAAAAGAAATAAACGAGAAAGCAAGAAAAGGAAATAGAAGGTGAATATAACGATGTAAGCTGGGGATATTAAAACTAATTGTGATAAGAGATTGATAGATGTAAAATGAATATTTATAAGAAAATGTGTATGATAAGTGAGATGGTAGTTATTGGAGAGGATGGGTTACACATTTATCTAAATTAATAATATTGTCAGTCATATATGAGTTTAAAATCTCGAATAAGTAGCTTTACAACTTTTACATATTTTTCTGCAAAATAACAAATCCTCACATATATTTGTTTCTTGTAGTTACCGTACATAGCATATCAATTGAACATCACTATTTCTATCAGTAGCCTCATTCAGTTGAATGGCAAATAAACCTGAAAGTTTCCCCACAATCTGCTTATTAATATCTTCCCATGTCGTAAATATGGCGACTAACCGTATTGTTTGAAAGAGGTACATTTTTTATTTCTTTAGCTGCCGATTTTCCAATCTTCACATCACTGTTACCATATCAACCGCTGCAGGTAACATCAATTCCTTAGCAATCATATGTGGTTTTTCACATTTGGCAACATGGTAAGCTACCATGTAAAAGGCGTGCAATGCTTTGGTAGGAACTGATGCTCTTCAAACCAAAGCCGTGATCGGATGTTTTAGCTCTCGCAATTTTCTTACAAAACAGTTTCTTGGCTTACCTTATAAATGACTGTGAGTTGATTCCAAATGTCGTTTAATTTATTAGAAAACATACTTTCAGCCGCCAACACTGTGACAAACAACACATTGTGTAAGTTCTACATTCCCTTTAGTAACACAGGTAAATCCAACATCCAAATATTGGTCATCATATTTCCTATATTTCTTCTTTTTACTTAACATTACTGCTTTCGTCTGATTCTTGACTTCGTTTTCTATTCTTTTGCATATAAGTATCCATTGTTGATGGATTCGCGATGGCAAAAAACTCAGCATGCGTAATAAAACAAAACAACAGCTACTGCTGACATAATATAAGCTGACTAAATGCCATAACAATGGGGGAGGGAGCCGACCGGAGAGACAAAATGCATGCAGTGCTCACATCGACATGGTGTTGCCAAAGTCCGGATAATTATGCGATTTTCGGATAATTTCGTGGATCATCGATAATTTCGCATCGAACAATTTTTTTAATACATAATATAACATTTTTAAGACATAATATAAGCTGACTAAATGCCATAAAAATGGGGGAGGGGAGCCGACCGGAGAGACAAAATGCATGCAGTGCTCACTCGACATGGTGTTGCCAAAGTCCGGATAATTATGCGATTTTCGGATAATTTCGTGGATCATCGGATAATTTTCGCATCGAACAATTTTTTTAATAATTCAGGATAATTCAAGGGTCTATCGACTTGATGTTGTGTTTTTTATTTGATTGATATATTTTTTTTACATATATTTTTTTACTCATTTAAATAAAATAAATATATTTTTTTATAATAAAAATTCACGCTGACACGCGATGCTCTTGAGACAACGCAGCGACGCCCCAGGGCGCCGCGTCGCACAGTTTGGGAAGCCCTCCTATATACAATAAATAATAGTATTGACATAATTCATGTGCACCTCACATTTTAGGCA